AAAAGACTGTTCTTTCTCCATTGAATGCTCATGGCAATTTTGTCAAAATCAGTTAGATGTCAATGCATGGAGCTATGCTTTGGCTCTCTATTCTCTTCTGTCAGTCTGTGTCTGTACTAGTAGCATGCTATTTTGGTTACTACAGCTTTATAATACAGTTTGAAGTCAGGTAGTATGTTGCATTCAGCTTTGCTCTTTTCATTCAAGACTGCTTTGACTACTTAGGGATCTTCTACGATCTTGTATAAATTTTAAGATTTTATTTTCTGTTTCTGAATCTTACCACTTCCTTTAGTTTTCACTCCTCTGTGAAGCTTCTATGCATGTAAAGTATTAATATAAATAAAGTTTGTATGGCTTCTCTTCTATCAGTCTGTCTTCATCAGGTAACTTTTCAGGCTCCCATCAGTAAAAGATTTTCTTGTTCAACAGCAGAAAAAAAAAAAAAAAAGTATTTTTTAAGTACTTTGGGATTGCAAAGGTCATAATCTAGCCTGGCCAGAGGCTTCTTGGATGCGGGAAGTTTGGGCCTTTAACTCACCATTCACCCTATATATCTAATGGTGTCCAGAAGGTGACCCAAAATCAACTCCTGGCTCTAGGGTACTGAACATAGGACAGCCCTGTCAAACCAGCCTAAGCTTGTCCTTTGATGTCTTTCTGGAGGGAGAGTGAGGTACAAGGGTGTGTGGAAGTATTTAGTCTTCCTTTTATGGGACTTAATTGCTTCACAGGGCTTCCAGTGCCTCAGGCCAAACACCTACATTCATTAGCATCTAATTGCATCAACATCAGGTTCTGCCCGAGTACCTTAGCAACCACCTGTACCTTTTTTCACCTGGAGTAGTTCACAGACTGAGACTCTCCTGCCATAGTCAGATACTAGAAGCTGATACTTTTGTTCAGCAGTGATTTCCAATCCTACTTTTGTCTAGGAACTTAAAATTTTTGATTGAATAAAACTTTGCAATGGAGCACAGACATAGACTTTTAAAAAAGATACTAGAAGATGTCAAATGCCATCAAAGTTGAAAACTCATTGTGTTTAGTAACCAGTGTTTCCCAACCTGTTTAATCATGAAAACTACTAGATTCATATTTTAGAAATGCAGATCTATCGGGCCTTCTCTTAGCTATGTCTATACCACTAAGATGGGGAGATTGTAAGTATAGTTTTTGCAAGGTCTAAATTGATTTGTGTGCTTAAGTCAACGGGGGAAACATTTCTCATTAATAGGAGTGGATTCCAGAATCTCATAGAATATTGCCTATTCTCCCACTAGATTTTATACAGCTTGGACTTCATACTTGACCTTTGAATGTTATTCAACAAGATGTATTAATGAATGAGTGATTGAGTACTTCAAAATGAAAACGATGGAATTTTTTGAGTCACTAGAGATGAGTTTCTAATAATAGGACATAATGAGAACAGATGTGCTTGATATCTATTACCCATCCACTGTGTTCTATTCATGTTGGAAGGTGTTTTGCATGTGTATCTTGTTTAATAACCACTCTGATAGCAAATACTATTATTTCAAAGTACAAATAAGAAAACAGACTCATAGCGTCCTCAGAATCATACCTCTGGATCTTGGTCTTAAAAGATAAAGGGTGAGGGAAGATCTATTTCTAGGGAGAGAGTAGAGTGGAGAGGGAAGCAGGTAATTCCAGTTTTGGTTTGATTCTGCTGCCAAGCAACCAGCAGAACCAGGAACAAGTACCTCCCTCCATACACACACACCCTTTTTGTCTCTTCCCTCCCTCCAGAGTGAGAGGTTGAGTAGAGGCTTTGTGGTGCCATGAGTTCTTACCCTCTCTTTTCTGCACCCATATGTGCAAATTTAGCTTCTGATCCCTACTGGGTCAAAATATTCTATAGGTTCTTAACACCTAGGATCTGGTGTTTCTTCCTTTTTTTCTTACTGGAGCACTCTATGCATTACGGAGGCTTTTTAAAAATTGATGAACTGTATTGCACAAGCAACACTTTGCTCTTCCTGACACCTCTACATAATTAGAGAGAACGGGGAATGTAAAACTCTCTTAGGACTACATGTTTCTGAATGTTACTCTGCTTTAAATACACACTCCCATGGGTAAATGGAGGGAACTCTAGTTCTGCATGATCTATGCAAGTCTAAGACTTGAGGGAGTGGGGAGAAAGGAGTAATTTATCCTGGATAAAAGTGGACCACAAGATACAGAGTAGGTTTAGAGCCATTATTCTGCCTTGCTTTGAAAACAAAGGGCAACAACAGGCATTTCTCAGCCTGACCATGGTGTCAAGGAAATGGGACAAAATGATCACTTTTCAATATGGGAAAAACAGCAGCATTCTGGGTCCTGACCAGGACTCCTGGCAAGATTGATAATCCTGGAGATTATTTCCTGTCTTAAGTTGATTTAGTCCCCTCTTTCTATGTGGAAGGTTTGATTCAATAGCTAACCTAATCCTGATGGTCAGGAAACTCACAAGCTTCTAAGAGGAGAAAGAGCCTTAATACAAACCATCGAGTGAGCTGTAGATAAAACAGGAAGAGGAATGTCAGAGCCAGAGAAGATTTCCAGAGGCTACAAGTCAGAGAAACATTGGTTGGAAGTGAAGGAAACACAGGTTGGAGCTGGCAGGAGAGTCTGTCTATGTGTAGATATCTGGTAAGACGGCTACACTTCCATGCACCATAGGACATGGAAGTACACCACACGAGGCTGAATGAGGAGAGGGAGACCGGGACCTGCCTAGAGGAAACTCTTGAAGAAAAGCAAGAAGCTTGGGGTTCAGGGGTGGTAGTGGTAGCGTTGGAACCTAGAGCAAAGTGTGTCATTATCTGGGCTGATAATGAAGCAGATGGGCAAGGAAGAAGTGTCTATGACCTTTGCTGAACCCTTAAATCCCTTCTCAGCTCATCTCAAAGACCCATCACAAGGGAATTTAGTGTTTCCCTTACAAGAAATTTCTCAGCAGTTGTCAAAGCAGTAGACCAGGCCCTCTTCACACATAATGACATTTAGCCAGTCAGACAGTGTACAGTTGCCAATTATTGAGCAGCAGCTACTGCACAGCAGACACCATGTGAGGGTAGATATGAACCAGTGGCTATTGAGATGAAATAGGAAGCTGCCTGAACTCAAATTCACAAGAGGTGACCAGTTATGGAGTCAACAGGACCTCCATGAATAGCTGGTTGTGAGTTTGGAGAAGGGAGGGAGGGGTCTAGATGAAGAAGAGAAGCCAGTCCACGCACCTGAGTTTTAAGGTAATTTGTTAACACTATTAACAGTCTGTGTTTGGAATGCAGCTTTGAATCAATGACCTCAGTTTATGTTAAGTTTTTTAGGGGAAATTGCTATTGTAGGATTTAGGAACCCTTGGTATTATGACCCTAGAAAAGAAAAGTCCCATGGCAGGTATAGTCTTCAGAAACTGACCATCACAGAGGGAGGGCACATGCTGGGTAGGTACACAGAGGCATCATCAATGCCTCACTAGTCATGGTACCTGGTCCCTGTCACTGTGCTACAATGAGACCTCTTCTGAGTGAAACCAGCTGAATTCACAATAGACATTTTATCACAGTAGCCCTTTTTCTTTCAGACCCTGACCCACTGAGTTGACTTTGAACTAAATGAGTCTCTTTGTTTCCACCAATGCTAATTCAAGCCCTCCTATTTAGCAGAACCAGAAATCTATTTTTATCCCTACTCCAGATTCATCCTTGCTTTAGTCAAAGGCTCACCCACAGACAGGGATCTTTCTTTCTCACCGCATACCAAAGTTTCCCCAGAAATGTGAGTGGACACAGAGCCAACCCAGAACATCACGTGTCATCATTGATCATCCTTCGTCATTTTCACTTCCTTTTGGGGTTTTTGGTTTTTGAACTTGGGTGAATTGCATTACCACTCATGGCTTGAAACCTCCAATCATTCTTCAAATGCAAGGACTTTAGTTTCTCTGAGAACAAGTAACCCTAGGTACTTACACTATCATTTAGGGGAATTCCCCATCTGTTAGAGGAAGTGGGGCATTTGTCCTCAGTTAAGTCCCTAACTGACTACCATGACCAGCACATATCAGATACTTTTTAGAATTTGTTGAATGAAGAGGCAAGAAAGAAGATCATGTGAAAACTATTGGCGTGCGGAGGCACAGCTGTGACCCTGGAGGGATCACAAAGCCAGAACAGGAAAGAAAACATTGTGGTCAGCAGGATTTGAGGTGTTGGGGCTAGAGGAAGAAGTGGGCCGAGGTGGAGGGCTCAGGACTGGGTACTCCCTGGCTAGGTTTGGAGTGGAAATGGTTAGGAAAGGCTTTCAGATGTTCAGGTGGAGGCAGAATACAGTTGGGTTAGGAAACGGGAAAAAGTCATGATACCTGGCTGAGTAAGTAGAAGGAAAAGGTTACCCTAGAAGAGGAATTAGCTTTGCAAACTTCCAAAGCAAAAACAGGGTAAAGGTGTGATTGATGAAAGCACAGCAGGTTTTCCCAGATTAGTAAACCATTTAGAAAGGGGTGGGACTGAAGTAAATAATTCTGAATATGTGTAGTTCGATGGACCTGAGAAAAGAATGTGAGAAATAGATTTAAATATCTTGAATCGGAAGAAACTATAATCAACCAATTTCACATCTCTAGCATTCACCTTCACTAAGGCAGACAGGCAGTGGTGCCCCATCAGCTACACTTCTTTTTGTCACTTGTTCATGTGCCCAAGTATTCTCTCCCTCAGAACATAGGAGCAGCCACCTGCATGAAAAAGACAACATGCATCAGGGTCATTAAAGGACTCAGACCTCCTCAGGGCTAACTCATTAAATCAGCCAAAAGGCTGTTGCTCATCCCGCCCCCAACACAAGCAGGACACCTGGGTCTGTGGTGGAAGGTGGCAGTAAGACCCAGGTGACATCATTGTCAGACTGCCAGTGCCATTATATCAGATGAGTGTTTTCATCATAAAAGCTGAGTCAAAGGGTGATTGAAGGAAGCAGGGTGAGTCATGTATAACAAGAATGAAAACAGATCAGCTGGGGCAAGTCTATTTCCTTGAGATGTTCATCTTATAAAAGCCAGCTGGCCATCCTATTCACAATAGACCTAAGCAGCTCTACAGACCTAATCATCTCCAGGTACCAGGTGCGTCTCTGATTGTAAATGATTTGGAATTCTTGCTTATTCTTTTATAACTGGATATTGGATAAGGCAAATATATGTCAAAAGGTTAATGCAGGGTATTAAATAGAGTTAGAGAATGCTAGAATAGCTTTCTAAAAAAACATTAAAACAGTTCATGGCCTGAAGAGAATTTAGACAGTTAAATTGGCTACTAAATGGACAGTCATAGAAATAGGGATCTAGGAAGAGGAGGAATTCACTCAAATGCCCAATGCATTTGAGCATTTGAACAAGCAAAGCTCAGGTCTACAGTACTGGCAGCAACACCACCATTCTATCTGAGATGGCACTTACTACAGAAATTTTAGTTCATTAGGTGGATCTCTACTAAGTCACTTTTGTGTGCATTTAAGTCAGTGTACTAGGCACTTTAGATAATTCAAGCCAATATGGATGTTACCAAACTTACCACCTAGCAGGCAAGTTAATGTATGTACAAATCTAAGAGATGCAAGTTAGGTAGCTGGTAGTAAGGAGAGAAGGTCTGGGAAGGGCTGAGTGGTTGGGGGAAACATTGCTCAAGAAGAGCTGTTCAGTGATGCGTTATATGAGCTACCATGGAGGAATATTCGACAAGCAGAAAGGGGAAAGAAAACATGTTAGAGGAGACTTGGTGAGCAGAGTCCAGAAGCAAAACCACAGGGGTTACCAGAGATTAGTAGTACAGTTATCTATCTTGTATACATATACACACATATTTATATATGTATACCTACATACATACAATCTTTTCCTTTCTTCCTTTTCTCCTTCCCTCTATCTCAGTTGTTCTGCCTAGATCTTGTAACCTGAACAACTACATCTAAGGTAACAATATGCAATGTATTAACTAATGTTAATTTCCTCCTATTTTTTTGAAATTCTGTTTCATTTCTTTTTATTTTCTGTTTTGTTTTTTAAAATAACAAAAAACCCACAGGGGCTTGTATCGAGAGAGTCATCCTTTAAATTACAGAACATTTTATGTGGCACCAGGAATTGACAGACTACAGTTATTTCTGTGATGTTACTGTCCAAAAGACCTGGCGTGTGGCCTCACGTGTATAACATAAGGCAGCTTTCTTGGGTTGTTTTTCAATAAGGAATGTAACATGTCTGGGGAAGAAAAAGAGAAGAGCAAAGACTCTTCATGAATTGGGGCAGGACAATGTACTTTCATTGTACTTTCTGGGCCCCTCAGAAGGGCCCAGAAATTACCACAGCATATCTTGCTTTCAAATATAGCACATTACTGAGAACAGAGAAAGGTTCTCCCCTCAAAATGGACCACAATGAAGTGTATTTGTATTAAACTCGGTTTCCTCGGTATGTCTTTAAACCACTGTGTCCGTTTGTTTTTCTCTAGGAACAACCACTGTTGAAGGATGAGTTCCCACCAGCAGAAGCAACCCTGCACCGCACCCCCTCACGTTCACCAGCACCAGGTGAAGCAGCCTTGCCAGCCTCCACCCCAGGAGCCATGTGTCCCCAAAACCAAGGAGCCTTGCCACAATGAAGTGCCTAAACCTTGCCAACCCAATGTTCCTGAACCCTGCCACCCCAAGGCACCTGAGCCCTGCCACCCCAAGGCACCTGAGCCCTGCCAACCCAAGGCACCTGAGCCTTGCCACCCCAAGGCACCTGAGCCCTGTCACCCTAAGGTGCCTGAGCCCTGCCCCTCAACGATCACTCCAGCACCAGCTCAGCAGAAAACCAAGCAGAAGTAATGTGATCCACCACCACGCCTTTGAGGAGCTCATCACCAAATGCCAAACCCCCTTCCCATTCTGCTTATGAATCCCTTATCTGTTTCCCTGACAACTAACATGCTATGACCCTCTGTAATATCTAAAAATATCCCTTGCACTCACTGTGGAAGGTTCTCTAGCCTCTGGACACTGCTGAAAGTCCCACTGGTGAACTAATCTTCCAGTGGCTCACAGTTGGTCTGAAGAGGGATTGTGGGAGGAATGGAGTGTCTCTTCCCTGTTCTGCCTCATTAAATTAGTTTTAATGCCATGCCTGATTGTATGTGTCATTGGCTGATCCAACCTTCATTGCTCACACAGCTAAATCAGGAACAAACAGAGTAAAGACTGATCAGGAGGTCTGTGGTTCGAAGATGCCTGATGCTAGCAGTGAGACTGTGCATATATTTGTGTGTGTGTGTGTGTGTGTGTGTGTGTGTGTGTGTGTGTGTATCTGTTGTACATGAACATCATTCTAGACTGGCAATAGAAGCATATTGAAGGTCAATCTGATGCCTTGCAAAGCTACAGCTGGAGTAGGACTTTCTTCTTTTACTTAAATGAGCTATGTCTGAGGGTATGAGGTTTCTTCTTCAAGCTACCTCTGACACAAATCACCTTTGTTGCACTTGAATCATCTTATTTGTATTCAAATATCTTTATTTTGTTCAGTTGACTTCTCTTTAAAAACTATTCCAGAGAAATAGTATATATACATATTCCAACTTGAATATTTGTACTTTTTCTTCTCCCATTTTGATGTCCTCAACACATGGAACCAAACACAACACGTATCTATTCATTCACAGGATAGAATTCAGTATATAGACATTGATACACTCGCCTATCCACACACTTAAACCTCCTAAATGGCATAATTCACACTCTTATTCACCTTATTTGGTCTTCTTTTCTCATTGAGTGCCCACTGCAAAGTTACTTGATGCAATAGCAGGAAGGAGAACGGAATTCATAGTGCCTACCCCAGAGGAACTCCAAGAGTTGAGCTTCACCATCTGCACATACAGATACTGTCACAAAAGTGCCCAGAGCCTTTTCTACACTCACACACCCACCCCCTCCCACACACACATGCATGATACATCTCCAAGTAAAACATACATATGAATCTATCAAATAAAAAAGAAAAACAATGCTGGCGGTTCCTAAGAAAAGGTATTAATACAACTAAGCAAAGCGCCATCATAAAAGGTCAGAGACAGTTAATACTGAAGGGAGAAAAGAACCATGGCTGGCCAGAAAAGTGTGCTAGGATAAGCTCCAGAGTTTGAGACCCAGTCTCCCTCCTCCCTGCGGGATTTCATCCTGACCATGGCTGAACTGATTCAAAAGAAACTGCAGAGGGAAGTGGAGAAATATCAACAACTACAGAAGGACTTGAGTAAATTCATGTTGGGGAGAAAGAAGCTTGAGGCACAACTAACAGGAAATAGTATTTTGAAGGAGGAACTGACACTGCTGAATGGTCCAGTGTGGGTCTTCACACTTCTGGGTTCTTTGCTAGTCAAACAGGAGATGGGGAGGCTCAGGCCACAGAGGAGATGTTGGACTATATTGCAGCTGAAATGAAGCAATATGAACCCCAGATCCAGGACTTCTAGTGGTAATCAAAACAACAGAGGGAGATACTTGGTCAGCTATAAGAGGTGTTCTGGCAGGTCCAGGTGAATGTAGGGGCTCCTTGGAAGGCCTGAGCACATGGTGGGGTTTTGGAGGTGAAGGGATTGGGGCAGCTCCAGGATGTATATTGTCATAGGAAATAAAATGTAAAAGCACTTAGCCAAGAAACAAAAACTGAGAGAACACAGGCCATAACTATATAATTTAAGTGTAAAGGAGATTTAATAATCACCTAGTCCAATCTATTCATCTTCCAGATTAATAGATAAGTATCCAGAAAGGAGAAAGTCCTTACTTAAACTTACCCAGAAGTCGTGTTTCTGAATCAGACTCAGCCTCTTGTTTTCCCACTGCAGATTTCCACACTGAACATCAGGTTCTATAGGCTCTATTGACTGAGTCTGAGATATGAGGGAACTGCCAGCAGAGGACAAGAGACCAACCAGGATTCTTAGAGCAACTACAGTAGTCACAGGGGAACAAACACTATTTCTCCATGAAGAATGATCCACGATAATGGTTTGTGGGATGGAAGAGAGCAAGTGCCTGTGAGAGCCTTGGTACTCCAAGAATATTTTGGAAGAGCTCAGGTATTTGGAAAATAAAGGACAAAAACTTTCCAGCAAGGAATTCAAGTTGAGGAGTGGTTGTCAGACCAGCTGGAGAGAATGACCTCATTGGGGCCTGCAGGCTGGCACATGTTGAAGTGACTTGCATTGCGGCTCACTCACATGATGGGAAATGCCACTAACATCTCTAGAAACAGACACTATTAAAGGGGCAGGCCCTGAATGGGGACTTTGGCCAGTGATACATATAGCTCTTGGGAGTTTAAAGTCAAGGGGCCACAAGAAATGGAGTTGAGCAAATTGAACAAAAAAATCTTTAAACATCTGCATATCTTCTGGATTCTATTATGACACACTCATTCCCATAAGCAACTATTTATTTATCAGGATGATCATTTCAACATTATATAAACATATATACATATTCCTCCATAGAGAAAATTAGAATAAGATATGGTGTCTGTAAGTGCTAGAAAACAGTGTGAACATATAGTAATATTTTTCATATAAAAATGCTTAGAAAACATCAAGATCATATAAAATACTACATATTTAAGACATAGTCACATTTTTATATAAAAAGGTCTGGCAGTAAATACAACTGTTGAATAAAAGATATTTATTTTATTCTTTTAATATCTCCATATTTTAAATGTATTCTAACCCAATTGAAATAAAAATGATTAAAATGTTGCTTTACATATTATAAAAATCAAGGAAGTGCGAGTTGATGAGTTGGAGGAAAACTATCCAGAAACCTTGAGAAGCTTTGTAGCTTTTTATCCATCAGAGAGCCCCAAAGGCTTAAGCATGGAGATCCAGGGGCTTCAAATTGTTTTCTGTGCTATGGCAGAAAATCCCCAGTGCAATTCTAAACTTTTTTGTAGGAAACTCCAATATCACTGTTCTACCTCATTCTCAGAGACTCCATTTTTACTTGCTGACTTTGGTACTGCAAGCTTAAGGCTAAAAGATATCTGGAAGAGATGTAGTTCTCCTCCCAGCCCCTTCTCTGTCTTTTACTGTGTAGTAAACCAAATGTCCTTTGTCCAGCCAACAATAGAGGGTACCATACCATTTCCATGTGGGGAACTGGAGGGACAAACTGCTCACATGATGGTGACCTGCAAGTTTGTAACATGATTATAGATCTCACGTAGTGCAGATTTTATTTCCTTTCTAAATATAGTTTTGTCATTGTGATATTCACATTTTTTGTCCTAGCAGGACCATGAGTCCTTATGTTTGTATAAAGAAAATGCAGTACTACCCGCCCTAGATAGAAACTGGTGAATAAAAGTGTTCCTACTCTGCTGCTGACTATTTCCTTCCTGAACACCTATGCTAACTACCTTCTTAGTCTGGTCCGCCATCTGCCTACTTAACTTGATTCTCTGTCATGTTTCTCTTCCTATTTTTTATAGTTCTTCTTTCTGGGTTATGTTCAGTGTTCATCCAGCCTGGACATATTGTATAGCTCCCCAGAACTAAGAGACCCATCTAGACTTTCAGGTCTCATTAGACCTTCCATGAGTCTGGTACATTAACAGGCACAGCTCTTAGATGTGCTTTAACATATGCCACACTGCCCCACAGTGCTCATTCTATGCACTCGTCCTGTATTCATGTCTGTGTCCTCTGGAATGGAAGCCACAGGGGAGACAGATAGGATCCTTTCAAGAATTCTCTGTGTACCCAGAGCCCAGCCAACTGTCTGTTTAATATTCAATATTTGATTCCTGCTGAGAAGTTTAAACTTTCCTTGAAAGATGCAGCATTTATAGAATGAAAAGTTACACATGCCATCTATTCAATCTGGCAGCATGTCCTTCTAGGGATTTGTGAGTATTTACTACTTAAGAAATAGAAACCCTTTTTATTATTATTTTGAAGGTAATGAAATACAACGGAACAAGACAGAATATAGCCAATAGAGACAATGCAGTGAAATTGGTACAGGACATCACAACAGGCTACCAGGATAACAGTAACAGGTGCCATAGTATATCTCATCATCTTCATAATAGTTATTCTTTCAATCAGGCACAACAAAGTCAAACTAAATACAGAACATCATAGAACTTATCAAAACAGAATATTGAATACAGCAATACAATTAAATCAGTACAAATTAAAACAGTGATAATAATATTTGCCTTCAAAGAGATGGTAGAAGGAAATCCCCACTCTTTGCTATATTGCATATGGTCAACCTCCGAAGATATGTTCAGACCTCTGGCTCCCATTTGCTAATGTGGAGAGGGCAGGGGGAATGGGACGTTTGATTCTCAGCCCATGTGCTGGTAAGTTCACAACTGCTTACCAGGGAGGTAGGCTGGTTGTTTGGTTTCCCAGTGCCCTAAGTTCCAACATGGCATGGATCTTGGGAGACTCTGGGTGATCTCCCCCTGGAGCGGCTGCCACTTGCCCAAGCTGTAGCTGCTTACCAGGCTGGTTACTTGGTTTCCCAGCACCCTAAATTCCAACGTGACACAGAACTAGGGAGCCACTGGGAGTGCTTTAGAAACCCTTTTAAAACACATTAGTCATCAATTATTCCTAATCATTCTGGTTTACATTTTTCTAAAAACAAGTACAAACAATAGTTGCCCCTAGCTAAAGAGTAAAAATTAAAATTAAAAATAACTGTGTATTAATCTAAAAAGTCAAGAATTTCAGTGGCTTAGAGAAAAATAACTTTATTTTGGGCAAGCGTCACAGTTCAGCATGAATTGTCAGAAAATTCTGTTCTACTTGGCCACTCAGGCTCCCCACCCTATATAAGTCCATCATATTTTAGGTGATAAAATTTCATATTGTTGTAAGAACATGGAAGAGGTCTAGTATGGAACAGGAAAACTCATTGCTGGGGCCAGAGATGATAATCATCACTTTTACCCATACTGCACAGATTAAAGTGCATTTTTATGATCCAGTTAACTGTCCCAAGTCTGGAAATGTAGACCACACTTGTGCCCTGCCCAGGAGAGAAAAGAACATACGTACATCCATCATCAGTCAAGCCCTGTTACACAATACTTTCCCATTCATCGAGTATAAA